GTCAGAAGTTTGGGAAACACTGCTTTATGGGAACATTTTTTTTAGTAATTAAATTTCTCTATATATTATAGTTTTGAACAGACTTACGTTTCCTCTTGAGTAGGTTTGTTTTTTTGTTGTTATTCTGAGAAAGTTTCTATTTCTCTTAAGTTTCTAATTTATTGGCATAAATTTGTTTATAATATTACCTTATAATTTTTTAATGTAGGTTGGTAGTGTTGTCTCCTTTGATTCTTGAATTTTGTAACTTAAGTCTTTTCTTAAATTTTTAGTCAATCTCATATTTTTTAATAACTTGGCTAAAATTTAAATTTTTTAAAGAAAAAGGATTTGCTGACTTTCTCAAACCAATCTACATAATCTTGCCATTGATCTTGGTATAATTTAGCTGCCTCTTTGATTCTCTGAGGTTACATAAAACTGTTTCCTTTACCTGCTCAGCCAGATATGGAATATTAACTCTTGATTTAGTCTGGGGATTAGTGGATATTGAACATGAGCACTGCAGTAAACATGGTTTTTTTTCCCCATGGCTAATTAGGAATCAGTTATGATGATCCAGCATTATTTATACTTTTCTATATAACTGATAAATTTTAACATCATTATAAAAATATTATTTGTATATACTTTGTATCAGTTAAAAAGATTGCTTTATGTAATGAGATTCTAGAAACAGTAGTTACCACTGCACTAACATCCTCCCTGAATTTTCTTCCACTTATTCAATAAGTATATACTTATTATTTAAAATATTCAGAGGCATGAAACAGATACAGATTTTATCTTCAAGGGACTTACAGGTTAGTACAAGTGATACAATATGAACATGAAAAAATATAAGTGGAAAATGCAGGATGCCATTAAAGAATTCTTTCTATTATCACCCATTATGTACTTGCATCACCTAGTCCTTCCTACTTACATTTCCTTCCTAGTTGCCTTTATACCTAATATTCTAGTGTTTGTTGCCATTTAGACTTCTTGTGGTAGTAATGTGTGCTTCCATATGTACTTTTCTTACTTATAATCATAATCAACTCATTCATATCAGCCTGGTATGTGTGTAGGGAGGCTAAGTGTCTGTCCCAGTTTTATATTATTAGGGAGTGGCAGAGTCACGTTTTGAACATAAGGTCTTTGTACTCAAAAACTTAGTCTAGTGTGATCTATTGCAACAGTTGCCAACTGGTAGTCCATGAACCACTAGTGGTCCACGAGGTTCAAAAGGTTGCCAACAGTTTTGATCTATTGCCTCTCATTACAAACTTCCTCCCTTCTCTAGCCAGCAGATAGTTGGGGAAATTTAGCTTGGTGAATTGGGTCCGACTTGGAGGCAGCTTTGTGTGTTTCTGGATAGGCACAGTAACGAGGCAGCAAAGCAATACTGTGTTCAGGACACTCTGAGCCATTCTTTTTTTTAATATATTTTATTGATTTTCTACAGAGAGGAAAGGAGAGGGATAGAAAGCCAGAAACATCGATGAGAGAGAAACATCGACCAGCTGCCTATTTCACACCACCTACCGGGGATGTGCCCGCAACCAATATACACGCCCTTGACCAGAATCGAACCTGGGACCTTTCAGTCCACAGACCCACGCACTATCCACTGAGCCAAACCGGTTTCGGCTCTGAGCCATTCTTAAGGGTTTTAGTGACTTTAAATTTTACAAAAAGCTGTTGGACATTTACACTATGGAATACTAGGCAGCTGTAAAAAAAGAGATCTCTTACCTTTGAGACAGCCTGGATGGACATGGAAAATATTATGCTTAGTGAAATAATCCAAAATGAGGAAGACAAATATTATATAATCTCACTTATTTGTGGAATCTAATGAACAAAATGAACTGACCAACGAAATAAGAACCAAAGCAGGAGGACATGGAACAAACTGACACACCTCAATGTGGGGTTGGAGGGATGAGAAGAGATAAACCAAAGAACTTATATGCATAGCTCATGGACACAGGCAATACGAGTAGTGAAACCCTGGAGGGAGGAGGGAATGGGAGATATTTGTAATACTGTGAACAATAAGATAAAATATATTTAAAAATGAAAAAAAATTTAACAAGTTTATAAAATTCAGAGATCCCCATTTCCAGTTACTTTTTATACAGTTCTGTGGTGGAGGTTGGATCATTCCTTTAGAGAACATGTTCAAAACCAAATTTACCATCTCTTCCTCAATTTGTTGTCTCTTTCTCTGTTAATGACACCTAAATACCCATTCTCCTATACTGGAAACCCAGGGGTCCTTTTTAACTAAAGGAGTTCATCTTGTTCCTCTAACCCAGTGGTGCTCACTCTGGCTCTTTTTAACCAACACCCTAACTTCTAATCCTGTCATTGTCATTTTGCCTGATAGGATTGTTTGAGGAAATAAACTAAAAAAGTGTATGAAAAAGAACTCTGGCAGCTATGAATGAGAGGTATTTATGTCCTTTGAGGCAGCACATCTGTTGAAGTAAACAGATAAGGATGAAGCCATTCAGACATATCAGTGAAGTGTGGACTTTTATCTGAACTTTGACCTCATAGTCTTACATGTTATAGCACGTCACACTCTTAAAATTCCTCAGGAGGAGAGGAAAAGGAACAGGTGAGAAAGAACTAGGGTGACATAATTACCCTGTTTCCCTGTCTTATATTAATTTTTGCTCCCAAAGATGCGCTAGGTCTTATTTTCAGGGGATGCCTTATTTTTCCATGAAGAAGAATACGGTACACATTTATTGTTTAATGAAAATAAAGGAAATTTATTACCTGTATACGGAACTAGTACGGTAGTTGTCAACACAAACCAAACTGTGAATCCTACAGTACCAAGAATTTACTCATTTATTCAATGACAATCATGTCGTCATCTTCTGGAACATCATCATAACAATCCAATTCCTGAATTTCCTGGTGAATTTCTTGTGATTCCATTTCTTTCAGAATCAGTGGACCAAATCTCTCATGTTTAGCCTAGGGGAGCCTTATTTTCGGGGGGATGCCTTATATTATATTTCACTCAGAAGGAAACCTGTAAATAGGTCTTATTTTCAGAGGATGTCTTATTTTTGGGGAAACACGGTAGTAAGTGGCACAGCCAGGACTAGTACTCCTCATGGCTAAACTAGGACCTAAAACATTTTAAACTAGAAACCAGGATTGGTTTTAACACTTGAGCTCTTAGTCTGTGTGACCTATGATGAACAAGTGAGCTCATTTAAATGTCAGTCTCTGCATATAAGGTAGAAGTATATATGATAGCACCTATCTCTAAAGTTGTTGTCAGGATTGAATGAGTCATGTAAAGATCTAGAGTGCTATGTAGAAAGTGTCTAGTAAATGATAGCTACTGGATTACTCTTCCCCCCTCTTCACCTATCTAGAAACTTTTGGTTGATCTTCCTCTGCTTTTTCCCTTTGAGAATTCTCTCTGGCTGTTTATTTAGATTGCCGCACTTTAGAATTTTTTTTAAGTTCACAGACATTCCCAAGGGGTTGTTGCTGAACCATTTCATTGAAATAGATTGGGTAAAGAATTTTCATATTTTCCTCGCTGCTTCTTTTCCCCTAATTTCCTCATTAAGGTTATGACACAATTTTAATGAACTTCGTTAGTTAAAAATTGTGATATTAAACTTATGCTTTCTGACCCCAAGTTAAAGGGTTTAGGTTCAATATTAGGAATAAACTTGTAAAATCAGAAGTGTCTACATAACTGCCTCAGGAGGTTACCCATGACTACAGGTATACAAACAGCTTTTGACTGGCAGAACTTTGACTTTCCACTGCTCCATCTAGGACATCCCTTGTTATATACACTGCAGTGAGAACTGTAAGAAAGAAATAAGCTACCTACATATTGTATTTTTGTGGCTTTGGAAATTTTGGTTCATGATTTTATACTGTCTTAGTTAAATGAATCAATAAGATAGCAAATGAACTATAATTTTAGCAGTGATGAAAGTTGTCAAACTTCCCTGTGTATGCCAAGTTTAATCTATACTAATAAAAGGGTAATATGCTAATTAGACTAGACATCTTCTGGACGTCCTGGACAAAGCCATGGTGACGAAGGCCAAGGCAGAGGCAATTGGGGGTGATCAGGCCAGCAGAGGGGAGCAGTTAGGGGACAATCAGGTTGGCAGGGGGGAGCAATTAAGAGGCATTCCAGTTGGCAGGGGAGGGCATTTAGGGGTGATCAGCCGGCAGGGGAGCAGTTAGGGGGCGATCTGGCCAGCAGGCAGAGGTGGTTAGGGGCAGTCAAGCAGGCAGGCAGGCAGGAAGTTAGGAGCCAGAGGTCACAAATTGCAAGAGGGATGTCTGACTGTCGGTTTAGGGATCAGGCCTAAACTGGCAGTTGGACATCCCACAAGGGGGTTCTAGATTGGAGAGAGTGCAGGTCGGGTTGAGGGACACCTCTCCCCTTGTGCATGAATTTCGTGCATCTGGCCTCTAGTATTAGAATAAAGTTGAAATTGTGATTCTTGGATCCCTTCAGAGCTGAACACACACAGCTTTATAGTGAGGTCACAGTAGCATGGGGCCTTTGTTAAGTGAAACTAGGCTAATCATACTGCACACATTAGCCCACATTCTGATAAAGTAGAAAATATTGAGGCTTTTATATGCTAAGTTTGACAGATGCTGCCTGCTGCTTTCAGATTAAAGAAAATTACTTGAACACTGCTGTGTCCTTCTGTGAGATGTTTATTCTCAACTTTCACCCTCCCTGCCCCTTGCCCACAACCATTACAATGACCAGGACATCTGCCTGCTCAACAGTAATGTGTCTTAAGTAACACCCATTAGTTTTCAATAATTCCCCATGGCTTGCATGTCTGCCTTCAGTTTAATGGCCTTTTTTATGTTTATTCATTTTGTTTTATTTCCCATCGTGGTTTTGTTTATTTCTTTTTTGCTTTTTGTTTTTTCTTTTCTCTTTTTTTAAAACCGTCGTGGTTTGCCCTTCATATTCCCCAATGTTTGCACATGACAAGATGTTGCCATCCCAACATTGCCTCCCACTTCACTGACCAGTGCCACTACTGACCATCTAGCACCAGCTACATCGGGACCACTGCCTTCAGCACCTCGGGATGTCGTGGCCTCTCTGGTTTCTACTCGCTTCATCAAATTGACATGGCGGACACCTGCATCAGATCCTCATGGAGACAATCTTACCTACTCTGTCTTCTATACCAAGGAGGGGATTACTAGGTAAGTGCCCATATATTTGGAGCCTGTTGGCTACATCTTGGTCCCTTCAGCCCAGTCATGCTCACCCTGGCTCTTTGTTGTACAGGGTCTGTACCAATTTTCAATCCAGAAAATATGATCACTGAGATGCATTTTTCCTAATTTTAGGTCATTATAAATAAATTCCCAAACAGACTGAAGTCCTGGTATGTAGGGAGCAGCTCTGGGGTCAAGCCTTGGGCTGACCTGTGGCTGGGCCACACACAAGTCCCAGCTCAGAGTGCTGAGCTCTCCTAGCATAATTAAGCCTGACCTGTAGCCCTCCCTAATTCCTTCCTAAGTAGCCAATGGGCTGTGGGAGGTGCAGCAAGTGTTGCCAAAAGAAGAACATTTGTATACATGTTAATCTACCTTTGTTTTAATCAGACTATAAAATAAAGCATCGGTTTAAAGGCTGGGTCTTTTATATCCTCATCCAGGCTTCGGAATACAGATCAGCTGTATTCTCTTGTCTGTTTTTTTCTTCAATCCTTCACTGCCCCTTCTCAAGTTCACCTTTGGCTGTGCTGGCGCTGTACACAGATACTTTTTCCTGCCTTTCTGGATGACTTGTGGAAAGGATAAATAGAGCTATAGAGGTTGAAGTATTAAAATGTAACTCTTTGCTCTTAAGATTCAGTCAACACAACCTAATAAGATATGGCTTATTTACAATAGAACTTTCAGATTTTAAAAATTAAGGTAGACTTAGTTTATTAAAGTAATCTGAAGGAATATTTGCCTACATTGTTAGGTATATGTGGGCTACTGAATTTCAGGGATCTACTTGATGACACAAGAAATTAGTGATTAATTTTCCTAAAAACAGCATTTTCATTAAATTGCTCTCCAACTCCACCCCTTTTAGGACTTCACAATGTCCTTCCATTGCTTATAGATTATCCAGAATTCCCAGGCTACTTCACTCTACAGTCTAGCTGTCCATGTTTATTTCCTTACCTCCCCAGTTGAACTCATTTTCTAGTGCAGTGTTTCCCAAGGTGTGGTACGTGTACCCCCAGGGGTACGGGAAGAGTTTGGTAGGGGTACGTGTTACACCAGAGTTTGGTGGGGATATGCACTGCACCGTGCTTAGCTTTGCCTAATTCCATGTTCTCATGAGTACGAGGGGTACTCAGGTTACGAAAATTATAGAAGGGGTACACATATGTCAAAAGTTGGGGAAACACTGTTCTAGTGGCATTAGTCAAGTTCTTATCCCTGTGTAGCTTTCCCCCTGCCCCCAATCTAGTCCTCTTCATTCACACATCCCCTTCTTTCCTCCTCCTTAGCTAGAGCTAACTTCACTTCATTCTTCTAGGCCCAGGTTAAACCCCATAATTCCTCATAAAGTTTTTTCTATCTATCCTTGTCAGCACACAGAGTATTTATCTTACATATGTGTTTGTATCACTCCTACTGGCACTTAATTATGATAAAACATGATCTTGTGCTGCCCTAAGTTACTCTTCTGTTATTTTATGTGTATTAGTGTTGTTTTTCCAGTCTGATTATAAATTTTGGGAGGAACCATGCCATATGCTTAATACGTGTTCCTAACATTGCTGAGTAGATTCCTCCATTGTGTTGTTTCTTCGCCCCAGAATATGAAAATTAAAATGTTTGTTTTGGTTAGGGCCTTACCATATTAAATAAAGCTTGTATTGCTACTAGGGTGCTGACATTTGACATATATTGTCTTTAAAACCAGACAGGCAAATTCAGCAAGTATAGGAACCTTAATCAAGTGATTTAATACGGTACTCTTGGACAGTAAGAATGACATAATTTAGCCAGATAGATAGAGCCGTTCATATGGTAATGTTTATCGGAACACTGCACTGGATGTTTTGGGAATTAGAAAGGTAAGGAAACATATTCCTTGACACAAAAAAGTAAGATCTTATTACTAAACAGCATGTATGTTAAAGTCTCCAGTGGGCTTTCAAATCTCATTGCAAATTTCATAGGAGGAAGTAAGCATTAGCTCCTTAGAACAGCAAGCTTGTTTACATTGCAGGACCTGTCTGGCTTTTGTCTGTCACACTCAGATAACACCTGCTTAGGTTTCCATGAACCCACCCAGCTTAGCCTCTCAGTCACTCTTCCTCTATGCTCTATTGGAGCCATCTTGTCCCCAAGCCAATTATTACATTTTTCAGGAAACTTTGCAAACCTGATGACATGGATTGGTAGCTTGAAATTGGACATGGCAAGAGTATTTACAGTGACAAGTGCTGCAAACCAGAGCTGACTGTTAAACATTTACTCCAGAATATCACTGCTATCACATCAACCTGTTTTATTATACTTTGCTTTTGTTTAGAACATGTAACACTGAAATTTTTTTTAAAATGTATTTATTGTGTCTGGCTTGCTCAATAAAGTGTAACTGGCACCTAGAATAGAGCCTGGCATATAATAGCACTAAATAAACATTTGTTAAGAGAATAAATTTCAGTGGAGAAATAATAATTATTCAAGAAATGGTCCTATTTAATAAAAGAATAATGTGCAAATTAACCATCACTCTGCTATACCCACAAGCCACGCCCACCAGCCAATCAGAGCGAGTATGAAAATAAACCCAACCAAGATGGCTACAGCCACAGAGAGCAGGAGGGAGGCTTGGGTCTCCCAGGCAATGGAAGAAGCCAAGCTTTCCGTCTGCCCTAGCTGGCCTAAGCCTCTGCTCAAGGCTACACGTTTTAGTTATAGAAGGTAAACAAATCCAAACAGAAATGGCTGCGGGCCATGGAGCGACCAGGAGGCTTGGCTCCACTCCAGGCTACAAAGTTTCAATTGTAGAAAATAAATAAATTCCAGATACCAGAGCCTCTGCTTGGGTCGCCACGGGTGTGGCTGGCCTGCAAACCACCACAGGCCCTTTGCCCAGGCCACCCCATGCCCCAAGGAAACCCCCACCCTGATCCTGGTCACCCTTCAGGGCAAACCAGATGGCCCCCACCCATGCACCAGGCCTTTATCCTAATAAAAGAGGTAATATGCAGATTGACCAGCACTCCCAACACACAATAGCTGCCCCCATGTGGTCAAACATGACTGCCCCCATGTGGACACAAGATGGCCACCACAAGATGGCCAGCAGGGGAGGGCAGTTGCGAGGCACCAGGCCTGCAAGGGTGGGCAGTTGAGAGGGACCAGGCCTGCAAGGAAGGGCAGTTGGAGGTGATCAACCCTTCAGGGGAGGGCAGTTAGGGGTGACCAGGTCTGTAGGGGAGGGAAGTTGGGGCAAACAGTCTGGCAGGGGAGCAGTTAGACATCAATCAGGCTGGCACAGGAATGGTTAGGGGGAGATCAGGCTGGCAGGCAGAAGTGGTTAGGGGCAATCAGGAAGGGAGGCAGGCGAGCAGTTGGGAGCCAGCAGTCCTGGATTGGGAGACGGATGTCCCACATTGGAGAGGTTGCAGGCTGGGCTGAGGGACACCCCCTCCCCTTGCACGAATTTTATGCACTGGGCATCTAGTGTTGAAATAATTAACTCTATTGGTAGAAAGAATAAAAGTTCTACCTCTGTCTTTTATGGTGTATAACAAATTACAGATGGGTCAACAGATATTTTTAAAATTTATAAATATATCAGAGAAAATGTAGAATTTATATTTATCATTATACTGTGTTACTGTGTAAAATTCCATATGATAAAACATCATAAAAAGTCAAATTATCAAGTTTTAGAGTGGGAAAATTTATAATAGATTGTGTTGATGTAAAGAACTCTGATAATTATAAACAAAAGATAAGTATCCCTGGAGACAATTGATACAAGTTAATGATGATTCACAAAGTTAGTGGAAAGCTTATTAAAATTAAAAACAGTTTTCACTGTTATCACCAATCTTGGAAATACAAAATAATGAGTTATCATTTTCCACCTGTAAAGCTGGCAAAAATTTTAAGTTTATAATATCTAGTGTTCAGCAAATTAAATTTGGGGAAGAAATTAAGTCTAGGCTATGGGTGACAGTATAAATTGGAGTAGCCTTGGAGAGGTGATTTGGCAGAATTTTGTATCTTCTTACTGCACATCGTCTTCAGTCCAACACTTCTAGGTGTCTGTCCTGTAGATACACAGATATACATTTGCATAGGGCAATCATAAATTTTACTGTAGCATTATTTCTAAGAATAAAAAAAGAAACAGAAGAATGGGCACATAATTAGGATATGTATATCCGCATGAAGTATGATGCAGGAATTTTTTAAGTGACGTATAGATATATATTTTAATGTGTATGTAAATACCTATAGCTGTGATTTTAACCAGGCATGATTTTGCCCCCTGTGTCCCAGGAAATACTTAGCAATGTCTGGTTATCATAACTGAGTTGGGAGGAGATGCTTACTGGCATCTAGTGAGTGGAAGCCAGAGATCCTCATAAACATCCTACAGTGTGCTGGATAGCTCCCTACAAAAAAAGATTTCTCCTGACTGAAGTTTAGAGAGCCTGGCTTGGAGAGATCTAGTAAGATACAGGCCAATATGTGCCAGAGTTAGGTCTCAGGATAGGACAGGTTTTGAGGATCAAGAAAAACTGGGACTTAAAATTTTTAACTATACTTTTGTTTTTAATGAAAACCTATCACATTTAAAATTTAAAATGTATCATGGATTGAAATAAGCAGGGATGGCTAATAAGTGAATTTGGAATTGAGAAAAAATAGAAGAATTCAATTGGTAAGGAATCTATAATAATAAAAGCATAATATGCTAATTAGACCAGATGAAGCCGGGGTTGTGAGTGAAGCCTGAGTCCTGGGTGCTAGTGGGAAGCTGGTGCCGGCAAATGGGGGAAGGAAGGCCTACTCTTGCATGAGTTTCATGCATTGGGCCTCTAGCATAGTATAAAAGAAGAGAAGATGCAAGGAGGATCAAATTTTATTGGTTTGGGTGGTGTTTGAAGGATAGGAAACTAAGAAAGCTAATTTAATTGGCCCAGAGTTTTTGGTAGGAATTAGAA